AAAAGGAACTTTGATGTATCCCCAAACTGGATTGCTTACATGAGGACACGGTATCTCTTTTCCCTGATTATCTTGCACATTTACACTGCTTTACTGTGTTTTACAAGCGGTTAACATATCGTATTTTTATTTCTTACACTCAATCACTGACACATCCTTGAGGTTTCAAGGTCATTCTTATTATTATGTTACTGTGACACTGCCCAAATACTCGATCCGCCCCACGCTGTACAGTTTCTGCCCACTTGCATTACGATTGCAAAACCTATTCGTAAGTCATGTACTGTATTTATTATGCCTTATAGAACCACGGTTACAGGATAATTCGTTTTATTCTTCTGCCCAGACCGTGCGTTAAGTCTAGGTTTATCTGTTCGTAGTTTCTAGTTTAGTTTTCGTACGACGTACTTAGTTTAGGCTTAGTATCGTTGGTACATAAGTTGAATAGGGCAATCATGTCCGTTTCTGGTGATTCTTTTGATGATGTTAACGTTACTTATGCTGAGGAACTTCGAAAGCTGAATCCCGTATTCGCCTTTTGGAGTCGGCTTTAACGAGCATGCGCATGTTGCAGGCGAATACCGTTGATGCTAAGGACTACTGCGAACCTGAATTTGAGTCGGATGCTCTTATTAATGAACGTTCGCGATTTATTCCGGCCGACGATTGTGTGCTTCCTCCCGAAGTTGCCATCTGCTCGTCGTTTGTGAAGCCTGTTTATAGGGGTCCGCACGTCGCATCCGTAGCTCAGTTGGTTGGTCCGTTGGCATCCGACAGTACCGGCGTTCGATCCCAGTCGGGGGCGTTTTGCTCCGACCTTCAAGCTGACGGTAACCTGTGTCCGGAACGCAAATCCAGCGATTTTGGACCCAGCACGTCATCCTGTCTTCCAAAACGTGAACTGATAACATTCGATGGAGATCCTGCCCGCTATTGGATGTTTATGCGATGCTTTGAAGCCAATGTTTCCAGAACTACTTCCGATCCAACTATCAGGCTTTCATATCTGATACAATACTGTTGTGGCGAAGCCAAAGAAGCTATCGAAAGTTGCTTAATACTCGACCCTAGTGAAGGTTTTGAAGAAGCAATGAACATTTTGCGCAGACGCTTCGGACGGCCCCACATGATTGCTAGGACTCACATTAATGCTCTAACTGATGGCCCTAACATCAGGCCCAATGATTTCGCGGCTCTGTCTCGTTTAGCTGTGGAACTGCGTTCATGCTACTTGACGTTGAAACAATTGAGGTATGAATCTGATTTGAACGCGTCCAGAACAATCAGCTCTATCGTCAGGAGGCTGCCTAACCATCTGCAATTCAAGTGGGCTGAGCATGCCGCCAGAGTTATCCGCACCGAAAGAGAACCGAACTTCATTGATTTGACAGATTTCGTGGATGAAACCGCAGACGTCGTCGATACTTATTTGTCCTTTGCCGCACGTCCCTGCGGACTACCGGCCATCACCGATAGAGGCAGAAGCTTAAACTCTCGGGGATATGCCGCCTGCCTAAACATTGCCGCTTCATCAGAACGAAATTTCCCTAAATGTCTTTCCTGTGAACAACGCCACTACTTAGATCAGTGCGATGATTTCCGAAATCTCAGCCTCAACAAACGTCTTGAATTCTGTCACGCTCATAGACTGTGTCAGCTCTGTCTCAAACCGAATCATGACCTAGTAAATTGTCGATCACGAAGGTGTTGTGGGTCGAACAATTGTAAGCTGCTGCACCACCCGCTACTCCACGTTGATCGAAGCAACTTCGGAACACCAACCACTGAAGGATCCAGTTTTGCTCTCAGTCACATCGAACGCTCTGTTGTGTCGCTTGGCTTGTTACCTGTGCTTGTTTCTGGGCCTGCTGGCACCATTCGAACATTAGCCTTAATAGATAATGGATCAGATACTTCACTGATTGATTCAACATTACTTCAAGTTATCGGGGTTCAAGGGTCCGTGACTACACTTAACATTAGCACCGTTGCTGGCCAATGTCAAGTGGAGTCCCAGTTGGTTAGTGTAACTGTTCGATCTATAGATGGGGATGAGGCGGTCCAATTAAATTCAATTAGGTCAGTCAGTCATCTCCCTGAAAAACTTGGAACGAGAAACAGGAACAACGATTTCGACAGATGGTCCCACCTCTCCGATCTACGGTTACCGGAGCTAGAAGGAAGGATTGAACTTTTGATTGGTTGCGATAACCCATACCTACACTGGGCATTAGATCAGAGACGCGGGGATCCTGATGATCCGTATGCTGTTAAAACTCCATTGGGCTGGATCGTACTGGGACCGAACAAACAGCACGAGATTATGAGGGATCAATCCACATCACTGATAGTTGATCGAACAAGGAGGATAAACTCACTTCGCTGCGATACCACTGACCTTCGTCAACCACTAGAGCAAATGTATGAAAGGGAATTTGAGGGACTAGATAGTCCATGACTAGCCATGTCTGTGAACTACGGAAGCGCGTTAAAACCAATGGAAGCTTCTAAAAGAAAAGTTGGTACCCACTACGAGATTGCGCTACCATGGCAAGCCGGGAGACCTCGGTTACCAGATAACCGACAATTCGCACTGATGAGGCTTGCCATGTTGAGGAAATGTTTGTTGAAGAATGCCGCACTGCGCCAAGTACACACCAAGGTAATGAAAGAAAATATATTTAGAGGATATGCTGAACTCGCTCCAGTACAGGAAAAAAGGGGAAACCTGGTACATACCCCACCACTCGGTATCGCATCCCCGTAAGCCCGGTAAATTGCGAGTGGTTTTTGATTGTCAAGCTTCATACCATGGAACTTCTCTCAGTCAACAACTTCTACCTGGTCCCGATATATCAAACAGTCTAGTGGGGATGCCTTTACCGTCCAGGTTTCACCCGATCGCCGTCGCGTCCGACATTGATGCAATGTTTCACCAGGTTAAGGTTTCTATTAAGGATCGGATTTGTTTGAGGTTCCTGTGGTGGAAGAATGGCAATCTTTGTTCACCCCCTATTGAATACCACATGACTGTACATCCGTTTGGCGCTACTTCGTCACCAAGCTGCGCTAAATTTACATTAGGACAAGCTATCGTTGACAGTTATTGTGAATTTCAAACAAAGGGTAAACAACTAGCAGAGAACTGTTTTTATGTCGACGATTGTTTCTTTAGTGTTGCTTCTGTTCCCAAAGCAACTGAACTCGTTATACACCTTACTCGTATTCCGTCCGACGGAGGACTTCATTTGACGAACTGGGTCAGCAATCGAAATGAGGTTATCACGCTTCTACCTAACAACAAACTGAAGGTTCCCGGAATGAGATATTCGACTGGGGACGATTGTGTTACAACTGCGCCTGGTTTAAACTGGAACGCCACCCAGGACCACCTAACTTTTATGCTGGAAGGTTTTAATAAAACTTTGACCCGAAGAGCCATCCTCTCGTTTGCAGCTTCCGTTTATGATCTCGGCATAATTGCTCCCGTGCTACTTCCGGCAAAGGTACTGTTACAGAGTTTCGTAAAAAGGAAGCTGGATTGGGGTGAGCCTCTTCCCGCAGATGATCAGCAAGTTTGGAGCAAAAGGTGGAGACAGGTAAGACATGTGTCAGATAAGTTTTGGCGTAGGTGGATTAGAGTATAACTACCGACACTGCAGAATAGACAGAAGTGGTTAACTGAAATCCGCGATCTTAGGCAGGGCGAGTTAGTTTTAGTTTGTGATATACGCACATCAAGAGGTCTGTGGCCTAAGGATGTTGTGGAGAAAGTTATCAAGAGCAAAGACCAAATGGTTCGACAAGCACTGGTGAGGACAAGCAAAGGCGTATTGAGAAGAGACGTCAGACAGTTGTGCCTACTAGAAGCGTACCAGGAAGAAGAGAATGATGCCGTGGAAGCCATCGTCCGGAATAGGAAACCGCCGGGGGAGTGTAAAGTCCAAAAGGAACTTTGATGTATCCCCAAACTGGATTGCTTACATGAGGACACGGTATCTCTTTTCCCTGATTATCTTGCACATTTACACTGCTTTACTGTGTTTTACAAGCGGTTAACATATCGTATATTTATTTCTTACACTCGATCACTGACACATCCTTGAGGTTTCAAGGTCATTCTTATTATTATGTTACTGTGACACTGCCCAAATACTCGATCCGCCCCACGCTGTACAGTTTCTGCCCACTTGCATTACGATTGCAAAACCTATTCGTAAGTCATGTACTGTATTTATTATGCCTTATAGAACCACGGTTACAGGATAATTCGTTTTATTCTTCTGCCCAGACCGTGCGTTAAGTCTAGGTTTATCTGTTCGTAGTTTCTAGTTTAGTTTTCGTACGACGTACTTAGTTTAGGCTTAGTATCGTTGGTACAACTACCATTAGTCGCGCTTGGGCTGATTATAGCGCGGTGACGCCCGACCCTACGCAGATTCGAACCGGTGACCTTATGATTGCATATCAGGCGTGCAGACCATTGGACTACCTGCAGACCCTGATTTTGAGAAGCGAGAGGCAAAACCTAGCATTCATCTGTTTGAGATATGGCCACAGTACTGAGCCGAGATTCACTTCAAAGTGAATAGTGGCCCCGATTGATATTGTGCGTCGCAATACGCCTGCACAATGGGCTTCCCAAAATAAATAAGCAGTGAGTGCATAGTCTTTGTGACAAGCGTTTCTCACGGAGCTCGACAACTTGGTGGCGAGTAAGTGGGCCTGGATCGAATCCCGGCTGGGAGACTAAGCACAAAACTTGTCATGGGATGCAGTGTATCATTGTGTTGTCTCACGGCTCCAATAATCAAAATGCCCGAGATCCATTGCGAAGTGGATCACTGCCCTAAATGAGATTGCGTATCGCAATGCACTCGCATAGTGCATAATCCAAACGAGGCTTCCAGATTTCTGCGAGCTGATCAGCTGACCGATTAGGACTTTACTCGGCAAGCAAATTCAGAGTGATTATTGCAGGAACGAATGTATGAACTCACCCAAGTAGTCAGGAATATCCTTCAAATGTGGCTGCTGGAGGCGAGAAAGTGGCTTATCATGCCTCAGTGCTTCTAAATCGGGAGTGTGGTCCTCAAAGTATCCCTTTAGCCGTTCCGAATTTAGCAACTCAAGTTTGATCTCCTTCAGGCGCGCTTCTCTCACCACTTTGCGCGTTATGCGACGAACGACATCCTATAAAATATAGGTAGGCGCACGGGCGGTTAGACTGCGGGATACAAATGTAGCAACGGGTCATGAAGGTAGTCAAAAGGCAGGTTCGATAAACCATGGAAAGATATTGGTCTAAGCTGAGCGCCAATAAAATGACAGTGAGACAGTGCATGCAGATGTGAAAGCGTTAGGGGTAAGTGATGAAAAAATAAATTAAAATACTTGTCCCAGGGAAACTTACATGAGCCCGGTAACGAAATCCATCCACTTCCTCCAACCGAAATTGATAAGGCTTAAAGATCGAATGTGCTAAAACAAAAAATCGATCGCGATAGCGTTAGGATATAGCTGACGTTACAAAAACAAGGATTTATTTAATCAGGTTGACCCGTAGTCCTTATGGACCCCTGAATGAAAATGCTGGTGTTGCCATCTGTGGTGACACATGCTGTGATAGGCAGAGAGCCCATTTACGTAACAGCATCAATAACCCTTGGAGTAGTATAGCATAGTAGCCCACTAGAAGAAAAAAAATTAGTGTCGATGGAATTCCTGTGTAGCGAACTGGCAGGCGACATCGTCTGGTAGACTAATCGTACAGTGACCGGATCAATCAGAATGGAAAGAACACGAGATTGTTGTATTCGTGCCACGAGTATGGGCGGTCTGTTATATGAAAGCCGACTTCGTAGGCCTGCGATAGGCACTTCTGTTGTGGTTCTTGTAGCGATAGTCGGTAAAAGTAGTAATCAGTCAGATAGTGTTAGGCTATTACAGTTTCTGAGGGCGGAATACCTAAACTTGTAACACTGATATGCATAGAAGCGGATGTTGCCAGCTTTGGATCACCTGGATAACTGGATTGGTAAAGAAACTAGGGAGTAAAAGCTGAAGCCATCTAGTGTTCGCAATTTTGTGTTTACAACGCCGTTTCACCGCATCTGCTGTTTTAGGCTAGGAACTCAGAGGATATCCATTGATCGGACTCTCCATATGGCATCTCTGTTTGTAGGTGCTAACATAGCGCGGGCGTATCCTTATCAATAAGGGCCAATCATTGAGAAGGCAAAAAGAAGTGGCACATGTGTGTACTCAGGCGTTCATGTGGGCTTAGAAGAGATGTGGCTAAAAAATTGTGTGAATAGTTTCACTAACCTTTCGTTTCTGAAAATTCTGTACCGCATGCGGCCTCTCCAGCTGGATTCAGGAGTCTCTCAACCGAACTCAATAGTTTTTCCTCAGTCTTGTTCACAAAAGATAAAGCGGTTCCCATTTGGCCAGCCCTGGCAGTCCTACCGACACGGTGCACGTAGTTGGATGGAGTCAATGGAAAATCGAAGTTGATCACGTTGCACACCAGTTGAAAGTCGATCCCACGCGAAACGCCGTATTCTGCATCCCTGCGTCGTACTCTGAGTTAATGGAAAGCGAAAGGTGTAACCAGTGGTGAGTGAGCAGCAATTATCGAAGAAGGCAACTAGTGATTCAGATTTGTGAGAAACCGCGCATCAGAAGAAGGAAATATGTGCTCAGAAAGGCCAGATTAAAGGTTTCTGCTTCTAATGAACGCAAACACCTGCTTTGTGTAGTTGACAAAACTCCGGTGCAACGTTTGAGCAGCCGAGTTAGATCAGTAGTTGATTTGGAGCCTTGCAACGTGAAGTCAAGGTGCAAAAGCGATTTGATGTGAGGTTACAATGACAGTTAACATGCAACGTCAGCGATATTCACTATTTAGAACATACCTTTTAGGCCCAGTCGTGACGCCTACGTCCAAATCTGTTTGGTTTTCGTCAGTTGCCAGTAAGTAATCATAAACGCCGCGATTGAACTGGTCGATGGTATGACAGCGAGAGCTAACAGGAAGTTCAGAGTTCAATAAAGCAGCTCGGATACCGAATTCTTCAAGGAAAAGGCGCAATCTATGGGTATAGAAGTAGATCAAGCAGCACGTTCATCAAAAGTTTGATGAAATATTTAAATGATGGAAAGGTATATATGAATTCAAACATACTTGAAACAGCGATCTACTGAGTTAGAAAATATGAGGGTTTTGCCTCTAACGAGTCCCAGCTTCAGTAGTGCGATCAGGATCGTGTATTTGTTATCCTCCTCGACACTGTAAATCAGAGATAGATAGACAAGCTTGTGAAAGAAACCAATTCAAATAAATGACATGGTAAAAGCATGAGCAAAATGCTAAGTGGCACGCGCAAACTGATAAAGGCCATCTGACCTGAAAGTGCCGCACTGATCCGCAATACGGTAGTAACATCAAATCAACGACCACAGTAGATCAGCAAATCGAACTGATGCTTCACTGCAGTACAATCACCATGACTTACGGAAGTAAGAATCGGCCGGTGCCCGAATGGTCTGCGCGACTGGTTTGCAACTACAAGGCCACCAATTCGAATCCGCGTAGGGGCGGGCGTCCTCGCAGTATACTCAACCCGCGCGCGACTGGGGGTGTTCGCGTGGCAGCGAGGCGTCATTACAGTGTAAGTTGGCGATTTATTCTTTTACGGAAGGATAATAAGAGGTAAAAAAGAGGGACCTGGCGTAAAGCCGTAATGTCTTATTCAGGATCAGGGTGCCCATATGTTTCATTGCACTGCAGATAACTCAGCATTAGACACAAATTAAACGTGAGGTCTCACTAACAGACGACACTAAGGCGCCAATGATTCCGAGTGCGAGCCATGTCTTCTCGAGCCAAGCACAAGGTAGGTCGTGCGAACTCCAGCCCGGAAGGCGGGACGGACAAACAGCATCCAGGACGAGTAAGGACACTCTTCCAAAAGTCGTTGAAATCGGGGATGTTTTCGTTCTCTTGAAGAAATGCGGTGCGCCATCTGCCATCGATGACAGTGGCTGCCGCATCCTTTCGGCGCGTATAATATAAACGTTGTATATGCTCATATTGTAGCCTCCTCCGTTGTTTGCTGTTACGTATAGTTTGTGCCAGCGGTCGCTTTCTCGATGGTTTCCAGCGGTGTGGAAACAACTGAACGCATAGATCGTTAAGCGTCTCACTAAAACGTAGCCTCGAGCCGTCGGAAGTGTATCCGGATACTAAGTCTCTAAGTAACATGTGTTCCCTCTTATTAAGGGAGGAACAGTTAGCAAGTAGTTCGTTTGCTGCCGAGAGAAGGTTCCGAAAGGTTGAGTTGGCAGCGGATCTGTCGCAGGGAGAGAGTGGCGCGGTAGGAAGTGCTGAGGGGTCTAGGATGGTTGAAAATGTCGATACAGACATCTCTGGTGAGGATTTATCCGTGACGTATGGTACTAAATGTATGGGTAACTAGCTGGCAGAGATTGGTATTAATGAGGTTGGGTCCGAGGATGAAGATGAAAGCGCGCTCTTGTATGAAGTGTGTTCATATTCAACTTCATGACTTCTGGGACTTACAGTATCATTGGGGAGATCTAGAGGAATGTCAAAATCAATGTTTGCATTCGTTTGGGTGGATGATGAAAGCTCAATGTATGCATTTTGAATGGTACTTATGGGTTGGATCGATGGAGGAGTTAGGCGTAGGCAATCCTCAAAGTTAGAAGATAATAATGGCGATGGAGCGGTGCTTGTGTGTCGGGTTGTTTCAATTTGTACAGGATCCGACATAAGTTGAGTTGATATAGAAAATTCCTCACAGTTGCGATGGTCCACATAATTCCAACCCAGATGTTGTAACCGCTTCCGGATGCACTCCTCGGTTCGGTGAGTAAACACGTTTCGTAGGGCATGCATGATGTTGAAACCAATCGTGAGGCCATAGAAAGAAGCAAGCGATCATCCCTTGCGGTCCAGTTATACCCATGCTTAGGGAGACGCGCGAGGCAATCGACGTTGTACTCTACAGGATGTCGATGTCTACGATGTTGTGATAGCCCTCTCTGTGTCGTGAAGATTTGCCGACAAGTTAGACACTTAAATTGAGACATTTACAACGGAGGCTGAAACCAGGAATCCTGTTGGATTCCTAAGATGGGCTGCACGATGTCTTTGGAGTCCGCTGGTGGTTCGAAAATGTCGCGGACATAGTGTGCAGCTGAATAGTTCTGAATTGATACTATCTGTAACTGGCTTGATCTGGAGCTGCATTTGAAGTGGATGGGGTACTATGTTTAGTCGCCAGCGACTTCATTTCCCGTTGCTAAGTTTAATTTTGCCCACCCCGAGCATTGCGCCATTGGATATCCAGTAAACAAAACGAGGCTATCCTAAATAATCGGTGACCGGACATGCGTAGTACGTGCCAAAACCAACACAACTTATTCAATGTTGTTGGTTGTTATAGGGAACTAGCCTCGTTACTGTCGAGATAGCCCTTCGACAATCAAAACGAAAACTGGGCAGCGATCCAAAAATCGGAACCAAGGGTCACTTAATGCTTAGTGCATAAATTTGAATCAATATTTCATTGAATCACACTTTCATTTGCTGATTCTTGCTAGCCATTTGCATGAGTTTTTTGGCTCGCACTCATTGTTCATTCGCAGTTGTTTGGACCACTCCTATGTTGGACCAAGTGGTGCCTTGTTCACAATAACCAAACCAAATTCTGGACTGTTTATCCGGTCCTTGCAAATGTGGTCGGCTTGCTCCCGCGGCACTGATTGGCTTGCTACCTGTTGGTTCATCTGTCGGTCGATCTTCACGCTATGCGACGTCCGCTCAGGATTACTGTTGCGCGTGGGCAACTCGCTTTCCTTGGTCCCGGACAAAGTTCCGGGACTAAAAGCGTGCTTGATTTACCACACCGTAACCCAATTCTTCACTGTTTATCCGGATCGCGGCGTTGATTAGCTGTTTAGTTCAGTGGCCGTCCGTCAGTTTCGCTCGCGTAAATTGCCAGCTTCATCACATCTTTCAAGTTCTTGTTTTTTGTAGTTTCATTTCGTATGCTCCATATTGTCTTCCGCTGTGGATGATCTTGCCGTCTTGAGTTGCAGTGTTAGTCGACTCGTCCTGTCGGTACCGCTGCCCACCCCGTTGCCTCAGCCGTACTTGATCCCGCCGAATGACATTACTCCCGATTCTAACTTTAAAACTTCTCTCTCCCTTACGGGCTCCAAGTAATCTTCTCCAACGTATGTCAATTCCAGGAACCAGTTCAATCCACACTTTGTTCCCAGACATTAAAAGTGGGAGCTGTCTGGATCCACGATCATACTACCTTATTTTGTTGCAGCAGTCTTTGCAGCGTCTTTGTTCTACGTCTTAACAAACGTTGAGCTGTACGGCGTGTTTCGCCTTTCAAACAACACGATGCATGAATCTTGGTCGGTTTCCTTGGCCTTGGTAAGCAGTTTCTTTGCTTCCTTGACCGCGGACGACTAAGCCCCAATTGCTTGAATTGCGAAATTCCGCTATTATTTTTTGGGCAGCTGTCGCAAAACACCCCCTCCGGTATTCTATGCCGAGCGAACCGGCATCGTAGCTTCTTCACGATGGCTTGCGCGCTGGTCGTAGTGATGGTATCAACCTCGAAGTAGTCGCTGAAGTAATCGGCCACAACCAAGTAAAATGTAAAAGGCAACTTTCTGCCAAGGCCTCTCGAGGACTTCGCGAAGCATCATGGGTTCCTTTGGCTGGCGCACCTTGTGCATTCCGTATATTAAGCAGTTTGAGACATAATTCCGTAGTTGGTTGGTCATCCCAGGCCGAAACATTAGTTCTCGAGCTCTGGCAAGTGAGCGCAGTGTAAAAGGTCCAGCATGGAACGTTACATTGCCTACGGAACCACATGGTTACCACTAAATATTAACCCGTCTCGAGTGGCGAGTTCATCCCGAGAGTGGGAGAAAAGAGTCATCTCATTGTCTTCGGGCCAACTGTTCAATATCGTTTTCTTGAGTAGTTTGCATAGCAACATGCAACGCTCCTCTGTGACAGCAATCAGCTGTGACATGGACAAAGTCTAGTACTTTCTGCGCTCCGATCATGTCCGGAAGATGCACACTGTGGATACGCAATGTGTATCTTTGATTCTGGTTGAAGGACAATATCCAGGTCATACTTCTGAAGACGAATTAGCATCCGCTGCATGCGATATGGAACGATGTGCAGTAGTTTATTGGCGATGGACACCGGCGGCTTGTTAGCTGTAAAATCGGCATAAACAAGCGCAAGCACCTCTTTTCCGATTTGGCATAACGGCACTCGGCTGCTGAAAACAATAGGCTTCTGGTTTTGCATTAGCACGGCACTGATGCCGAACTGGCTACTGCCACATTGGATCTCAAGGGAAAGCGATGGATCACAGTAAGCCAGGACGGGGGCGTGTATGATCAACTGTTTGATTTGCTGATTTTCTCTTGCTCTGCATTCAACTGCCAAATTTCGCGCTTGTGTGTCAGTTTCCGGATAGGAATCATCATGTCAACTAGTCCGGGTAAGAAGTGGCTCAATTAGTCTATCATCCCATTCAGTCTGCTGACAGCTTTCACATCTTGTTTATGGCCCCGATTTTCTCTGGGTCTGCCGTCGTTCCTTCCGAACTCCACTGAAAACTACCTCCGTTTTTGTGCAATTCAATGTTCTCACGTTACAGTCTAATGGTTCTGTACGTCATAGAAGAATGAGGACCATAAAGAGTGCGAGAATCAGTTAATTAGATCGCTAAAATCACCTAATTTCGAGTGACCATGTGATGCAGATCATGCGGGATATATTTGCAAGTCAACGAGTAGACATGAAGCCATCAAGATCCATGGAACTCAAAGGAATATACAGTTGTCATAAAAAGAAGACACAACACAGAGAAGTCCATGATTTCGCCAGAGGGCACGACGATACCACACGGCTGCTCAATTTGAGGTAAGGTGTTGACTTAGGGGAAAGCACTCCTAGCCTTCGGCTAAACAGCCTGTCTGCAAGGCAGCGGAGGGAATTGCGCCCATTGGGAGCCGGCAAATGATTGCTCAGTTCATATGTGTTTCGTTTGTCCTGTTGCCAAACAGGGACCCAGTGCTTCCAACAATTTCAGCATCACGTCGCTGGAATACAATGCGCCACCAAAATGAAGCACAGGGATCAGTGACTATTTAGTGGTCAGTCACATCCGGTACGTCGCTTTTTATATGGAGAACGCTTGCCATGATAACAAGTAAAGTTGATGAATAGCTAAATGGAAGAACTGCATGTGAAGAAAGTGCAGGCACGTATACTGGATCGCGAGTAGCATTAAATATTAGCATCTAAATCTATTCCACCTAATTCCTTCACACCTGGCTCTGTTGCGAAATGTGACAAACGGATAGCAGAAGATGAGGAAAAAATACGGGTACATTTCTTTTCTGTTAATAGGTTAGGATGACAGCTGATGTGGTCAGGTTTCGTCCCCCAAGAAAACTTTGAGAGTGCCTCCAGATTGACACGGGTTTTAGGGCTGCCAAGTCAGTGGTTAAAACCACGAATGATATCGTGGGCTATCTGTTCGAAAGCATTAAGATTTGGGATCTAAAGAAATGCAGGGCTTCTGGTATCATGAGTGGTGTTTATTTGCACACAACTATCGAATAGTGCATGATACAGATAACAACAAGGTGCTGTGAACGATGTGACCGACCAGAAGAATTAATTGTCCATCTGCGCAATGTTTAAGCTGACCATCGAGGAGTAGGCTGGATTCTGAACATTGTAGGGTCAGAAGCGACTAGTCTACTTGAGCGAAGGTAAAATACTTATCCAGCGAACTGAAAGTTATCTCCAATATGTTTAAGCGCTTCGAATGTCCGCGTTCCACTGAAGACAGTCTATACTCGATGATCGATTGTGTCAAGATCAAGCAAACACTGGTTTTAGAATGGCTAAGAAAGAAAGGAGAATAATCTACCTTGGACTTGTGAGCATATAGACTATGGTGTGTAAAGTATAGCAACTTTATATCATTGAGGAGCGATATAATTCCTCAAGGCGAATTCGATATATTTATACGCTCAAAATCTAGTTTATTATCCTAGAAACAAACGTGAGCTCGGTGTAAAGCACGACGAGACAGTGTAGATGTTACCAGTGGGTAAGACTGTAGCCAATCAACAAGTAGCCAGTTACGAAAGTGTACTCATATATCTGTATGACAACTCAACAGTTCGTTCTATTAATGAATGGTTTCACTGGAAAGCAAACCTTATGATGTATTGGGTAAGCTGTGCTTCAGAAGGAAGGTACTGTTCTTCTGGTAGCTCAACACGGACCCAGTCACCGCCTTTAACGAGGCAGCGTCGGAGAATCTTCGTGGTATCGTCTAACGTGGCGGAAAGTAAAGTGACCTGAAATGGAAATTGGACATGATAAGCCCACATGCACACAGTACAAAAGTTCGGTCACAGAAAACAAACAGTAAAGTGGATAGGAACAAGCACGAGCCGGGCGTGGGAACTCGCATTTAAAAGAATGGGAACCGTGATAGGAGTGTGTTGGTTATTCAGGCAGAAAGAAATTGTTGAGGAAGTCCAAACAGCGAAGATATCTCTTTACAATTATTCTCATCAGGCCGTTATGGTAATAAGAAAAAACATATTACGCGGTAAGCGGCTGTGAGCTACGCTGAGGACAGCTAAGCCAAGAGTTTGAACAGAGTCAGTACGTCGGATCGATGCCTAGGTCGATTCATTTAGGGTAGGCTTCGCAGCCGATTGTAAGTCGCCTAGGGTAGACCTCGCAGTTGATAGTATGCCGTTAGTGTCCGACACCGAGTACTTGTCGCGTGGCCAGCGCAGGAGAAGCACTTGTACAAGGGCTCGTTGCTTGCACAACTCGGGCTGGGTCAGTCTGATGGAAATTGCTTCAGCTGTCTTCAGGAGATACCTTCTGAGAGCCTTCGGATAACGTGGTGACACAGAGTAGACCTTAAGAAACACAGACGCCGCCAAAGAATTGAGAACGAATGCCGAACTGACACTTTCCAGACCAGACAAAGGTTCTGGTTGGGTACTAATGAATAAGTCTGACTATGTTTCCAAGTTTCTAACTAGTTTGCATAATCCGAGCAAGTTCGCGCGCGATGTAGATCAAAAGGATGAAAAGCGCACAGGATGAGACCAAGATCGCCAAACGGCTGAAGGAGTTAAGACACGCGAAACTGATAACCGACTCGTTACTTGATAGGTTAATTCCAGTAGGGTCGCATGCTCCTAGACTATACGGAATTCCGAAAGTGTATAAACCAAAGGTACCTCTACGCCCGATTATTGAGATGTCCTCTTCCGCCTTCCACTCCGTCGCGAAGTGGCTAGTGGAAGTGTTGGAGCCAGTGCGCAGGGAACTTTCTACTCACTAAAACACCTTTGAATTCGTGAAACACGTAGAGAACTTGAATTTCCGTGGAGAACTCATGCTTTCATTCGAGGTAGAATCATTGTTCATTGACGTCCCGTTGCTAGAAATTGTCACTTTTCTTTATTATATTACCATCAAGAATATAGACCTCGGGATTCCGCCAAGCACAATAAAGGAACTTATTTGACGATTCACCTTTAACATTCAATTCCTATTTCATGAAATCTACTATAGCCGATGCGTCACTCTCAGGACCGCTCCTTGCTGACGTTTTCCTGGCGAAGCTTGAACGGGGACCTTTGCGGCCGGTTAGCTCAACGTTTGCGATATGTGAATAATACTTTCGTTATTTGTGATTCAAACAGAAGTTTCTCGTCTATTAGTTCAATTCAACATCGCACATCCAGCGTTGCATTTCACCAATGAGACAGAAAGCGAAGGAAGACTGGCGTTTTTGGACGTGTTGCTGAAGCGACGGAACGACGGGTCTCTGGAGAGGAGCGTTTTCCGGAAGCTGACATGAGCGGGTCAATACACACTTTAAGCTTTATAACTTTGCAACACAAGCGGAACTTTGTGCGTTGCTTACATTACCGTGCCGTTCAGTTTATCAGAAAGCACGCCATACTTCGTCTGCGTTCCGAAATCACCATCATTGTACCAAAAAAGGATGTGTTTCTATCGGTGCCATTCAAAGATGTTGCTTTGGACTTGGAGATTCTCAGCCGCAGTGTCCAAAACCTAGCCAGCCGCCTACCCTGTATTTACTCAAACCGCACGCCTTGTTATCCCGCGTCTCAAAGACAGACTCCCGGTCTTGTCCCAATCATACCTCCTATATCAAATTCCTTGCACCTGTGGTCCAAGATATCTCAGGTACCTAACCTGGCGTCTATCGAGACGGGTAGCAGAACACTGGCCATAGGCATTAAGAAGAGATGTGGGCAGAAGTATAAACAGTGCTACCATGGAACATTTCATCCTGTGGACACGAAATTCGAACATCGGATGATATTAAGGTTTTCTACTCCCTGTTTTCACGTTATCCGAAGGCTCTCAGAAGGCATCTCCTGAAGACAGTTGAAGCAATTTCCATCAGACTGACCCAGCCCGAGTTGTGCAAGCAGCGAGCCTTGTACAAACGCTTCTGCAGTTACTCGGTGTCGGACACTAACGGCTTACTATCGGCTGCGAGGTCTAGTCTAGATGAATCGACCTAGGCATCGATCCGACTTACTTGGCTTAGCTGTCCTCAACGTAGCTCACAGCAGCTTACCGCGTTGTACGATTTTTTCTCATTTCTGTAACAGCCTGATGAAAATAGTTGAAAAGAGATCTCTTCGCTATTTAGACTTTATCTTAACATGGACATTATTCATGATTTGAATTGTTGAGTAGTAACGTTATGTGTCAGTCAGACCTACGGTGCTATAAGAGTTCATGAGTAGCCAGTTCTCACGAATGGCATCAGGTACAACATAAGCGGCGCTCAATGAACTGTATGGGCCCAATGTTGCACGCACCCGCCTCGTCTAATAATTTCTAGTCGCTAAATAAATATCGCGGAATGAAGGCCCTTAGTCCAAAGTTGGTTTCGGTTGGAGGCTCTCGGCTTCGTGGTTGGGGACCGAAGGATGATGAACACGTTTGGCTGGCTACACTTGTTGACATGGCTAGGAGCCGACCTCAATGGTGTTTGTGTTGTGAATTTCTTTGTCCCTCCCCTTCCCGCTTAGCCTCCCTCACAAACCACAATTTCATTTATTAGGCACAATATAACTCCGTTTTTGCGGCACAATAGCCGGCTGGTAGCTCTTTAGAACGATATCCATCCATCACTGGTGACTCATCCGGCGTGTCTTTGTTACATGTAATTTTTTACTCTTCTTTTGTATTGCGGCACCATAGCTGAGATGTTTTCCACCTGCAGCCAACGTGTATAACGATGATAATGAAATACATATCGCCACAGATAGTGAATCATAAACTTTTCAAACAGTTTATCCGATATGTGAGCTGATGGGCGACACGAATGACACGTCACGCCAGGATGCAACGTCCGCCCGGGAGGCAGACTGTCGAATGGATCTCAACCACCCATATGGAAGCAGGAAGATCAAGATCAGTTTTAACCAAATTATCGGAGTGGTATGCATCAGACCATCGTAACACGCATCAGCATGATTACTAAAAAACAAAGGGCAGAATCAGAGGGTATATCTGACCAACAGCCACTCTCGACGTAAACATTACACCACTAATACAAATCCTTCGGTTGGATTTCGGCAAAGTTTAGCTGAACAAACATGATCTGGATGCCAAAATTACAGAGGATCCAATTGCAGAGATGTGTCACTAGGATAACAACAAATAACACATGTGAGGGAAATGAGATGAAATGCAAACATAATATAACTAAGGTGCAGGGAAAAAGTGAGTATAATCAATCGGGATAACATGTTAACAGCTGGATGGAAGAAACCGGATACAGGAGCGTCAATGATCCCGCGACTACACTGTGTCCAATAGCGTATCTAATTACTGATGTGGCCCGTCCATAGGTCCCCAACTGACATTTAAGAGTCTAACCAAGTCTCTCGAGCAATTTCTTCATATCTGTGTGCTACACCACCGACTGGCCACCTGGAAGATGCATCAATAGTATGCAATGCACAGTGAGGAAAGGGATCAGTGGGCACCCGAAAAACATGATTAAGCCAGGTTCCTTGCAAAACATCAACACGCATCGTTCACCCGGTGTTTCAAGCAGACATGGGCAACACTTCGCAAGCACCGGTGGTCAAACAACCAACCGTTTAATGTCCCCAGTGCGAAGTGGCCGGGTTTCTGGGCCACATAGTAACATCAGCCCTATTGCAGAAATTGGATAAACGGAACTTGGCAAATAATTGTCGTTTCTGGAAGAATAAATGAGTGGACCGGTGCGTTTGGGAGAGACATTGAGACATATCAGCGCTACCTATTTTTTCGCAAAGCGGGCGCCTTAAATGAGTCCATCGACGTGTGTCACTGAGTTAAAGATTTTGGTGCGGTCTTGTACTTTCTGTCAGTCTCATGTGGGACCGAATCGCCATAGGAATCAACGATGAAAGTACGACTAAGTGGCTTATGCGACAACGTAACTTAGTGCTGGGACAGTGCATTGATATCTACAACTGCGAGTCGTCGATCACATATTATCACTAGCAAATGATGCTCGCAGGCGATGCAGAATTGTGTGATTTCGGAGGGCAAAACCACGAAGGCCAACATGGTGAAACGGGTCTGCAAATTTTGTGCCGCACGACACTTGATGAACCGTGAACGGTGTCCGGTGGGAGGGAGCAAAAGTGTGCTAAATGCGGAAAAATGAATAACTTTGCTCGTTGCTGTCATTCGGCCAAAATGAGCGACCGTGATAAGTCGCTTGCAGATTCAGGGTATTCAATTAGCAACGTGTCTCAGAAGGATTCACAAGTGTGTTTACGCAAGTCTTTTGATCGAAGGCAGCCGTACGATTCCAATTGGACACCAGCGACATTGTCAACATTCTATCAAAAGTGCACTGTCATGAGGTGTATATACGACCCGATCAAGAGTACTTGCGCATGTGGAATGGCTCCAGAGTTCATCACAAAGACTCAGTTACAAACGAAGTAGTGAATCCAAAGGACGGAGCATCACATCGACTGGAGGTGGTGGTGGTGGTGGAAGAGGGGTTCACGTCGATTCAATTCAGTCTCTTCGTTCTGTTAATTTTGACCAAGATCGTTACGTGCATGCATGTCAGGGAGAAGCAGATATTAGTGACCAGTATCCGTCTGTGGTTAGCCCAAGCTTCGGGAGGTTTGAAGGCGCCGCTCATTTGTCTCTAGACTCATCAGTATGACCATTTGTGCTGTTGGCGAAAAGAAATTCATTTGCACTACGTGATAGGTCTACTGCCGAATTGAGTAAACTGACAGAGACGGGTATGATCGCTAGGGCAAAC